ATTCTGTTGTGTTTATATGTTAAAGGAGTTTAAAAAAATGTTTGGTTCCAATCCGAATATTAATGCGAAAGCTATATTTAGCTCAAAATCCAAGATGGCCGCCAAAATTTAACCGGGAACTGAAAAAGTTGCAAAACCCCGGAATTGAACAATGGTTTTAACATCAAATACCATCCATATTTGGTTAAGGAATATATTTCTCATATCCTGTAAGTCACCAGATCGTTTTAGGTTGCTTTTAGTCTTAAATTTACATAAAAGAGTTATTTTTAGCTCTAAAAGTCATAATGATGAATAAAACCCCCATTTCTGCACAAAGCATATTTTATATAGAATTAGTACAATATGAAAAAGGAATGTACTTCTTACCCTGTTTATGAACTATAGATGAGGTCTTTACATGAAACTGCGATCCAGAAATATACTCTTCAAAGTAAGAAACGCATAAGCCATTTTCAAAAGAATTCCTTTATGCTAGTTTAAGAGCAATTATTTCATGCAATCCCAATGGTAAAAAGGTGAAATTCAAACGTCTATAGACAAAGCCTTTACTGTTGTGTTTCTGTTTACTTGAGTCCACAGGATGGCGTCAAAGTACTTTGTATGGCCACCATTGGCAGCAATTACTGCTCGGCACCGTCTCGGCAACTGGAAAAGTTGACGAAGTAGCTCTTATCATCGTAGGCGACTTCAATTTCCATTTTGACAACAAGGATAACCATGACACTAAACGAATACTTAATCTTCTTGAAGTCCACAACTGTGTACAACTTGTGTCAGAGGCAAGCCACAGAGGTGGACACACTCTGGACTGGATAGTTAACCATGCTTCAGACGCATGTGTCATCTGTATAGGATCTACATCTCTCTGATCATTTCCATATCTTTGTGAGCTTGGACCTCTCAATACCCAGTCCAAATGTGAAGATTCCTCGCTGTAGGAACATGCGCTCCCTGGATAAGGATACTTTTAAAGACAATTTGCTAAACTCAGACCTTATACTTGAGCCACAATATGATGTTGAAAGTCTCGTTCTGCTATACAATAGAGTTCTATCTGAGCTGCTAGACAACCATGCACCAGTGAAGGACAGAGTCATACCAGTCACTAAAACATCTGCTTGGGACTTCACACCTGAAGTTCGACAAGATAAAAGAGACAAGAGGAAAGCAGAACGCAGATGGAAAAAAAAATATTTCCTGGAGATTCATCACCAAATGTATATTTCAGCCAGAAATCACTCAACAATGGTCATCAGCCAAATCGACATCTCAATTCTAAGATTGAAGTCAACGAGTCAAGTCCAAAGTTGCTGTTCAAACTTTTGTTCAGTATCTTGGGTAAACACTGGGAATCGTCACTTCCGACATCTGATGACAATGAAGCAACAGCACAGACATTTTCGGAATATTTCTACAAAAAGATCTAAGACATTCATGACAAGATTTCGTCTTCTATGGCTGTGGCTGAAGCTGATTTTCCTCCAAAAATGTTTGATGGCACGCCTCTTACTCATATTGATAGTTTCACTGACACTAAAGTTACTAAACTACTGAAATCTGCAAAAAGAACAACTTGTTCACTTGATCCGATTCCAACTGACCTTCTATATGACTGTCTTGACGTACTTTTACCACTCTTCTACTTCATCTGGTTATGTCATACGTGTACTCAAGTCAGCTCTAGTTAGGCCACATGTGAAGAAATCAAGCCTTGATTCTGCGGATCCAAAAAAACTACAGGCCTGTTTCAAACTTAGCATTTATATCCAAGCTCATTGAACGTGCAGTCTCCAGTCGTCTCATGGGACACCTTTCCTGGCATAACCTCTATGAGGTGTTCCAATCAGCCTACAGAGCACACCACAGCACATAGACGGCTCTGCTGAAGATCCTGAATGACCTATGATGTGGTATTGACACAGTACAAGTGGCCCTGCTCACATTACTTGACCTAAGCAGTGCCTTTGACACGATAGATCACCAGAGACTCCTCAAAAGATTTGATACAGAACTTTGAATGAAGGATTCAGCTTTATCATGGCTGGCTCCTTATCTACAGGACAGGACTCAAACTGTTGTTATTGGTGAGTCTATGTCAACCGCATCTAGGCTTGAGTCCGGAGTCCCTCGAGTATCCGTGCTTGGTCCGATCTTCTTCACCCTCTATACTGTTCCTTTTGGCTCTATTGTAGCAGACCACAACCTTGACCACTTAGAACTACGAAGATGACACGCAGCTGTGGAAGTTATTTCAACCAAACACAGAGTCATCTAGAGCGTCTCTCCGTCAGACATCAGACTGTTGCCAGAAGATATGCATGGATGTCATCAAATGCCTTGAAATTAAATAAAGAGAAAACAGAGTCCATTCTTCTGGGACAGGCTGGAAAACTCAAGCAATGTGACAATACTAGTGCGTCTGTCTGTGGAGCAACCATTCCACTTTCTTCCACTGTCAAGGATCTGGGTGTTGTCATCGATCAAGATCTCAGTATGACAGAACACGTCAAGTATGTTACTAAAACTTGCTACTTCCATCTTCGCAATATCAGTAAGGCCAGACCGTTCTTACCAAAGATGCCTCCAAAACTCTCTGCCTCAGCCTAGTCACACCACGTATGGACTACTGTAACGGCCTTTTGGCTGATCTCCATCTTGTGTCACTGGCCAACTCCAGTGCATACAGAATTTAGCTGCTCGCATTACCTCCCAGATCTCCAGAAAACAGCACATCACACCAACTCTAAAGGACCTCCATTGGCTGCCCGTGAAACACAGAATCGTTTTCTAAACTCCTCTGTCTCGCATACAAGTGCATGACTAACATGGCTCCAGTCTACCTCTCAGATCTTCAGGCTTATGCACCATCTAGATCTCTGAGATCAGGGAATCAGCACCTTCTTGTTATCCCCAAAGTCAAACAAGCTAAATATGGAGACCGTGCCTTCTCCTATGCTGCTGATAAAAAAAGGATTTCTCCCCTACATTTATTTGTATATATTTTTTTTCAAAGATTATAACTATTTTAGAATGATCCGATCCGATGACTTCAAAATTATTTCAAGGGATTTAATTGAGAGAGTGTGAAGCAGAAATAATGTTTTCTCCCCATCATTTCATTATATTCGTATCTATTTTCAAAGAACTCTGCTTTTAGAAGGAAAATTTTAAACGTATTAATAAGAATTGGATAACGGATAATTTGATATTGACCAACTACATTTTGAAATTAGGACTGCTCCCTTACTGACAGTCTCATCAAACAGAAATAGACATCTCTTTTAGTTTCATACATACATAACTGTTCTTTCATTTTTATTAATAGCTGGATTTACATTGATTTGATAAACTGAAGCAATAATATACTTACAAAATGCACAAAACCTACATCTGCTTAAATTCGTCTGATAGCTGCCATTTTGAGATAGGGAGTGTTCATTATTTTCATTTTGTTTTAATTAAAAACTTTTTTTTTTAAATAAAATATTTCATGAAATGGAGAACACACTTGGATAAAGTTAATAACCTTAAACTTTAAAATATTCAACTCGCCCACTATGACCTTCTGACCTTTTAGCAACCTTTTCCACAACCATTTTGTACAGTGCTCAAAATTACTATTTGCACCATATTTCAACTTGGAACCAAACTTTTATTTAACTACGATGTCTGATGAATACAAATAACACAATGTCTTGCTTTCATCACAAAACTTCCACGGGACTTGAAAACTGTACCCATCCTACCACACTTCCATCCACATCATGATCTGGTTGACCAGGTCGTCTGGGGCCGGTCACGCTGGCGTTTAGGCTGTCCTCTCTGTGATAGTGACGGGACCCTCAGTTATAATCTCAGGCGCCAGCGTAGGCATCTCTGGCTGCATGTTGATCTGCGCTGAAGTGACGGTAGCCGATACTGGTAAGCTGTTATGCCGTACATCTGGAATGATAATAGGAATGTCATCATCATATAAACACAATTCTGAAACAGGAAGAATGTCAGAAGAAAAGTTTTTAGTAGCCTTGAGGTGGATTTCCCTTTCGACGAAGCTGTAGCCCTGGGGTTTCGAATGCGTTGTGACGGCGTGGAAGCTCTTCTAGTCTTAGACTGTGATGATGGAATGTCTTGGGATGCAGGTCGCTTCTTGGATATAGCGGACTGCGTCCCCACGCCTCGAAGGTAACTCAGGCAGAACACCAGACAGTAGAGGGTCGTCCGCCAACAGTTGACAGGGTATATCTGACTCTGATTTATTAGCCATGACTGAAGGTTGTTTCCGAGATCTATCTGCAGCCCGTCTCAAGACGGAATATAAATATTTATCAAAGGCAGAATTAGACAAATTAATACATAATTTGCAGCGTGAAACAATAGAGCATGGAGTTGTACAACTAGGGCATACTAAATGCGGATCGGCAGCAGAGTAACGTAATTTACAAACAGTGCAGATTTTCATTAACGCAATCTGCTGAGCAAACACGGCGAACTGTGAATAAAGCAGCAGAAACACGAATAAATATCAATGCATGTTGAATAAGGATACTAGTTACACCTGTATAGATGAATATAAGATGTAACAAACTAAATATAATTAAAGGATATAGTGTGTAGGGAGACACAGGCGCTCTCACGTCCTGCTCACTGGGCGAAGAAGGAGAGAGTGAGGCACATGGCGGGAGGTGGGGCCCTCGTTCCAGCGTTTGCGAGGGGAAAGATAACTTGTGGTGAGTACTAATTAGTGATTTTACATTGAAGGGAACTTCAATTGGGAGATACAAGTGTTCCACTGTGTTCGCAAAGAACAAGAAGACAAGCCATTAGCATGAGTCAGGATAAGAAAAAATACATATATTAGAAAAGTTAATCCAGGCATAAATAGTCCTGATAGGTAATCAAGACGTTCTAGGAAATCGACAAAGATTTTAACCATTTAAAGGCTGAAATACATTTAAAGTTCAGGTATAAGATAATTTGGTCTTCCTCTTCTTTTTCAGATGTAATCATGGTACTGGTATTTCTGATTCACCAAATCAGATGGATATGGAACATCCAGAGCCTACAAACATGCTGCAGGAATCTGATATTCTTGTCCAACAAAGTGACACCATGGGTAATTTTTTTATGAAGTTTGTTTCCTTGCAAAGTATGGTTTGAAGTGATTGACATACGTTTGTGACAGAGTTTCAAACATAGTCCTCAAGGTATTCCTATCTGGATATATCCGTTCAATGTTAAAGTCTTGTCTGGTGTAGGTTACAAAGTCACAAATGGTGCCCCAGTTACAAGTAGCTGGCCCTGGTCCTGATACCAATGCCTATCACCTCTCTTCAAGTTGTAATATTTTCCTTCTTTTTTCCAAAAAAAACCCCAGTCATACAGGAGGCTTCATTAATGGTCAAGTCCCTTACAGCATAAGGACACTTAATTTCCACAATACCAGAAACAGAAGTGTCACACACTATAGCATCAGGGGTGGCTCCTATAAATGGAATAGATGGGTTTACAACAAAGCCAATGTCATGAAGATGATTTTGAGGGTTTTTTCATGTACATTTGTTTAGCTATTTTCTCATTAGAATTCCCATAAGTTGTTGGATTGGAGGAAATTTTCTTTTTGTCAAAGGTGTTTCTGATAAATGTGTCATTGATTTGTGTTTTGCGAGTCATAAGCAGACTAACGTTTGAAGCAGTAATTCGCCCTTTCCTCGCTTTGTACCACAAATCAGACTTGCTTTGAGATCTTGTATTTTTTTCTAAATTATGGGACTCGTCAACTGAAAGTTCTAACTCTTTCCACTAATGTTTTAAAGTTGCAATTGAATCCAGTTCGGGTAAGTTGTCATCTTTGGAAAATGTGACATCTCCGCACCTGTCCTCCATCTTTGGAACCACGATTGGTCGAATTAGGGGTGCCTGTAAAGAGAAGAAGCCTGTTTATTCACACTTAGTTTCATACAAGGGAGGGAATAAGGCTGTTTTACAGCTTAACCTCAAATTGAAACAAGTATGTTGAGGGTGCCATGTGTTCTAACTGAACTGTAATATTTATGCAAACAACTGCTCAATAGTCATCTGATATTGCTTTCTAAACTGTGATGAGTATTTTCTACCTTGGAAATATCTGATGATCATGGAGTAAAAATGTCATATAGATAATGCTTGAATTATGATACATCATTTTCACAAAACAAGTTCAGAATCTGAAATAAAACTTTAAGTATATAATAACATCTACTGTTGTCATTGAATGTGGCCATCACAGGTCTCCTTGTCCTATTAAGATTTCCAGGCCTGGCAATAATTATCTGTGACACTGCTTCAGATTCAGTCTTTGGTCACCTTGGTTTATCCCACTGCTGAGGCAGGCTAGTGGAAGAGGGCTGTGAAAGGAATGGCTTGATAGCCTGATATCTTCCAGCCTTCCAGTATCAGGACAAGTGCCAGTACATGGGAACACTTTCCACTTCCACTGAAGAGAATAATGTGAATAAATTTGTTACAGAACTGTGATTCACAGCAGGAATATATAATATAATTGAGAAGAAAATACATTTACATGGTTTTATTCCCGCAATGCCTAATAACAGATATTGCATTTACCTCTTACATTTATTACAGATCTGTTTCTTACACGATGATAGAAATGTAACGAAATTATATGGGATAACATGGGTTTCATTGTCAACAACTGAAGCGTCCGGCACACAGACGTGTAATTGATTTGATATCTATATATGCCGCTTATAAAACCCCAACAGATTTATGCCATAAATTGGAAAGGCACCCGAAGTTATTACGTGTACTACTCACCCACATTTGCAGCTACAATGGGCGTCAGTGAACGATTTGTGAATACTGTCAAGGGACAAGTTGATTACATGAGGAGCTTCGTTTTTCCGTTGACTTCTATAAATCCTCCCGCAAATTGACACGATATTATCACAACATGAATGGAAAGTAACGGAATGAAGGTATGAGGCCGAACTAAAACCTACTCCACGCTTGTTTTGCCGCAAACTAGGTTCATAAGGCAAATATTTCGGGCCGATAGCATCGGAATGTCTCTAAACATTATCACGACTGCCATTTTGACAGTTGGTTTTGACAGCTATGTTGTCGGACCTTTTGAGAGTTATCTCCTTTCTTTTGGGGGCGTGGTTAACCCTGGATGCCACAGGGACATATATGTCCTTCCCCTTCAACCCTCAATTTCAAGTCCAATAAAATCAAAATATCCCACGCAATACAAATACACTTCACAGTTTCAATTCTCATGGGAAATTTCCTGTTTCTTGATACCATCCACAATTATTTTAGACAAAGTTCAAGTGCTGAAAAGGACCGTTCAAAATAGGCTTCATCGAAAATGTCGCCATTTTTGACACCGTACGAAATCGCGATTCACAGCGTTTTTTGCTGTATGTTTTGAAATGTGAAAATCGGATAATTACTGGGAGTCCTGAATTTAAAATATAACATATTCATTATCACTCATATCAGTTTTACATGAAATCGCTAATTAAAATTCTCAAACATTGCCGATGAATCTATAATCGGTTCGGATGTTTTCGAAAATGCTGCGCATTACCTAACGCCGAGCTTTCCGCCATATTAGATAGTGTTTACAAAATCACGCTTACGAAGGCCGGTATTGAGACGCTTATTACATCAATGTATATTTCATATTCAGCTTCGAAAAATGCATCAATAAATTCCCCATTCATTTTAGAATCAAACTGCAACTGGTCTTTGTCACCAATGCCAACTGTCTAGATAAAATGAGACGAAACATATTGGGTGTGAAAACGAACGCTGTGCTCGAAACACTGCGCTGGTTCGAAATATAAACAAAGACAAAAACATATTTTACACTGTGTAGCATTTTCTGAAATTGTCCAACATTCATCCGTCTATTCATTGCTTGCAATGGCTCAATACCTTTGGAATATGCATGGAAAGAGTATCGTAGCAAGAAATAGGAAATTATAAATAGATACAATGCAATGATTTGATAATTCATAAGAAATTGTCAGTTTCCATGCAGCGTGACGCAATGACTGACGCAAAATCTCGCAGAATGACAACAGTAATTATGTGAATTTCTGGCTTTTTCTCTTACTTATAGTGAAAACGATAAAAACATATAACAATACACAGATAGTCAGAATCATTCTGATTACTTACATCTCATATTTATGGACAAACGATCCCTGAATCAATGGAAGGGTCCTCGCAAAATCCTGTGTAGCCTTGTCAGCAAAGCCACCATTTTGTAAAAAATCGGTCAGCAGTAGTGATGTCATCGTCAACATTGTTGTACATATTAGGCAATTTCTTTGAGGTGAAGGTCGGTTGAACAAGAGTAAACACAATCGCCCAATCCTTCCGATTACACTGTCAGTATTATGGTGTATATTTTGTGTATTTAGTTCAGATACTTTTTCATGAAACTGACTTCAGTATGCACATTTAGCCTTGTTCAATATCATATCATACGTGCGTATAGGGTTTACGGTGTTTTATTCTTTGAAAGTTTTTGATTGTTTGATTCATATTTACATAAGAAATTGACATATCAAGTGCAATACACCATATTCTAAACCCTTACACAAGTGTTAGAAGATCAAACGTAGCCATAACTGCAATTGCGTTAGTTCCTATGATGTACAATAATCAATGCATTTGGACTAATATTGCAGTTTCACATTAACAGGTTAATGAACGGCGATTTAATTCAACCTTATAAGTAAAACTGATAATATTAATGATAATGATTTATATAAGGTATGAAATGTATATGCACACATATTTAAAGGAATTGTCTTGTTCTTTGCACATTTGTGTGTCGGTTTATAGAGAAAACAATGATGTAAATTGATTGGCCAGGTGCGCGTTTGTTGGAAACGTTTTATGATACACTATCATTGTTTTCGATAATATAATCAATTCATATTCGATTAAAAAATATTGTGATGACAGAATATCATACTCTAACTATATTTATACAAAAATTGTTTAAAAATATATAAACCATGTCATGTCTTAATTTGGACAAATCTTACATCCATATTCTAATATATAGTACGTACTAGTTCCATATATAAAAAGCTATCATTTTGCATCTTCCATTGCATACTTATGAAGAGAAATAGCTACATAATCATAAACAAAGAACATTCTTATCCTTAACAAAATATTCGGGTGTTGTGAAATGTTATTTTTCATTTACGTTAAATTGATGCGAAACAGGTGTTCGTGTTGCTCACAAAAAGATACACAGTCAAACTGTCTAATTGTTGATATATTCAGGACACTACTTAAATGGAAAAATCAGTCATTTTATGTTTTGTCTAAAGAGTGTTAAATTCTGACATAGAAGCCGAGACCTTTCACACAATTAATGGAAATTAGGTGAGATATGTACTAATCAGCATACCAATGTCGTCTTTTTCCGACGTCGCAAAATGCATAAAACAAGCAATGACGTCAACTAAAATGGTGTATTATTTTCAGCAATTTCATTACATTTGAAGAAATGGCTAGTACTCTGGTAATAACGATGCAAAATTAGTCACAACAAACAGGACAATATGGGAATCTAAGAACTAACTTAAATATTGGATAGGGCCATCCAAATCATTATGAAGTGCTTTCACATGTAGTACGGTGTCATCTTTTCTTATAAATTGTGAAACTACCAAAGCGTATCCTCTCACATTGAGAAACTTTGAATTGGAATAGTTTGGTTCACCGTACACAAAAACTAACGAAAATATAGCGTCCGTATCCACAGCAAATTCTCTCCATGTGATCTAAGTAACATTGACCTAGTGTTAAGCATAACAGAGTTATGCCCCCTTATCATTATACGTGTATGACCTCTCGGTCATCGTTTGACGTCGTAGAAGAAAATCCATTTTTGACATTTATTGCGAGTCATTTTTAATGTTGAGTGTATAATGATATGCATAAGCACATAAACCAAATTCATATACACTTATGTCCGATGTCGTTCAGATATCAGGCTGTATTTTCTTCGCTCACACTTTCTGTAAAGATGCCAAATTAAAAAATTCGTAGCACAGTGCTTGTATCGGTGCGCGATAAAAAGCGGATAAATGTACTGTTTTTTTAACCCATAACAACATTTTTGACAACATATAGCAAGTAAGGGTGCAACGATACACCGGTACACCGGTGCATCACGATCTAGGGCATACGATACGATACGCGATACATTTTTGCCCGTGAATCGATACGCTACGATACAAAACTGTGTTTTGTGTGCTGTCAATTACAGTAAATGATCTTGTTCACATAATATAGCGTCCATGTTGTTAACATTGAATTGAATAAACGCATCTTACCTGAGAGTGTCTATATTTGTCTCTGTTGTGCAAGTTAGATCGACGTTTGGCACAAAACTGCTGTATTCGCTCAAATGTTTTTACTATACGTTCCGAAAATATCCAGCCTTTTTTTCAGTGACAAAACGTTTATGATCATAAATATTTTCCATCAAACGATAAAGCATACCTATCATCGGAATATACTACTTTTCATAGCAATCAATAAAGCTTGTGTTATTAATAATTTGACAAAAATTGTTAATGATAAAATGTTCTGCATGAAACCATGATTCGAAACACTTCACACAAACACGCCTTTCCAGGAAAACGAAAGTACAAAGTCATGCTGTTTGTTCATTGGTGGCCAGTAAAATGAATGACCAATCAGATTGCCATGTGCCATGATCACGGTCAGATGCCATGTGCTTTGTGAGCTGTCAAAACAATGGCTGAAGACGGACTGTTAAGCAGCGAAATCAAATGTGAAGTCGAAAAACCGCCGGCTTCATTCAAATCTTCTGTTTGGCAATTGAATACATTGACGGTAAGAAACTTGTTAAAAAAGATGAGACCGTCTGTCGTCTGTGTTACCTGCGAATCAGGTACACGGGGAGCATAACTAACATGTCCACACATCTTCGGCGACATCACCCCGATATTGATTGCAATGATTATGGACAATCAAAATGTTCAAAACCTTTGAACATTTCTGACGATAAGAAACGCACATCGTTACCAGGTCAACTTAGACTTAGTGAGGCTTTCAAGACCAAACTGTCGTCTCGTTCGACACGGGCGCAAGCAATAACAAATGGAATTGCTACATTCATTGCGATGGACATGCGACCTTATTCACTTGTAGAGAACATAGGTTTCAAGTATCTCATCCACACACTTGAACCGAGATATGAAATCCCATCGAGAACCCACTACACGAATTATGTGATACCTGAAATGTACAAGAAAGTAAAATCAAGTGTGATGGAAAGTATTGCTCGTGCATCATCAATGGCTGTCACTACTGATGGTTGGACCTCACGTTCCACCGAGAGCTATATTACCATCACGGCTCACTATGTTAACGAAGACTGGCAACTTGAAAATCCGGTGCTTCAAACACGAACATTACAAGAGAGCCACACTGGGGCAAACCTGGCTAATGTCCTGGACTCAGCTGTTGACGAATGGAACTTAGGCAAATTTTCTCAGATTGCCATTAGCACAGACAATGCTAGCAATATTGTTAGTGCTGTAAAGCAGTCGAGATTTGCACCTCATATAAGGTGCTTTGCGCACACAATTAACATAGCAAGCCAAAAAGCCATGCAGGTGCCGCAGATGTCCAGAATTTTGGGGAGAGTGAGAAGAATAGTTTCATTCTTTCACAGAAGCTCACATGCTGCATCTGTTCTCAGGTCAAAACAGTTACTTCTTGAACTGCCCGATCACAAACTGATCCAAGATGTTTCTACGAGATGGAATTCTAGCTACGACATGCTTCAGCGATATCTCGAGCAGCAAGCTGCAATCTTTGCCACTCTCACAGTGAAGGATATCAGGAAAAATGCAGACACCCTTGCTACTCTGTCAGAGGAAGATGTCAGCGCAGTAGAAGATGCGGTAAATGTTCTTTGACCATTGAAGACAATAACAACAATCCTCTGTTCAGAGAAAGTGCCCACAGTTTCCTCGATTCTACCATTAAAGGAGCTTATTCTGAAATCCATGGCTGTCACTGAAAGTGATTCTGGCCTTGTCAAGTCTGTGAAGTCGGCAATTGTCAAAGATCTGAAGATCAGATCATACTGAGCCTGACATCAACAAATTTCTACAGGAAGCAACTGCCCTTGACCCCAGGTTTCGATCACTACCCTACCACAATGAAGCCAACCGGCTTCTTGTATTCAGTGCCCTGACCATGAATGCGATCAAGATGGCAGAAGCAAACAAGGTAAATAAACAGTTCAACAATTGAATAATTAAAATACTGTTAATGTAATTAATTAATGCTTTAAACATTTAAAACAAAAATTCCACAGAAAAAGGTGTTTCAAACAACAAAACTTCATCTTAATTTGTTTCTGAATATTTTATTATTTTTATTACATAAAATGATTGAAATTCTGAATGGTAAAAACGTTTCAACAGTGTATCATGATCAATTAATCATGCTACATTTCAAATATCACTTTAGACATTTTAGCTGTCGGTTGAACTGTTATAATTCTTCTTTCAGGATGAAGTGGCTCCAGTGAGAGTGAAGGAGGAACCGAGTCATCCCACAGATGAAGCGATGGCACAGCCCCCCCTACCTGTATTGCCTCAAACCGACAGTCAGCCCCCTGAGTGTCATGACACTGAGACTGGTGGGACACAGACTTGCACTGCAGACTCTGTTTCTGACTCTGAGACACCAGGCCCATCACAACCTAAGAAAACCAAAAGTGCAATTGAGGAGATATTTGGGGAGATGTTCATTACACATGTGCAAGAGGCAAAGCCACATTCTGCTTCCATTGAGGAAGAGGTGCAGAAATACAAGCTTGAGGAATGTATTCCATTAACTGAAAACCCCTGCAATTGGTGGAAGATGAGCATTACACATCAGATTCCCAGCCCTTCTGCGTCCATTGTGAAGCAGTACCTAGGAGTGTGTGCTACTTCAGTCTCCAGCGAGAGAGTATTTTCCTCAGCTGGGGATATTGTCACTGCTCAACGTGCTTCACTTTCAGCTGAAAATGTTGATGTTCTGATTTTCCTAAAAAAAAATATGAAACTGTAATTGTAACAGAATTATGATGCATGAAGCATACTGAAAAAGAGTATGTAACCATTTGTCTGTTTGACAATGTTGTGTTAGTCAGATTTTCAGACTCCTTGAAAGTGTCAAAGTGTATTTCAGAATATCCAGATAGCTGACTGCTGTTAAAGTAACAGATTTGTTTAGTGTTTACTTAATTTTAAATCAAAAGTAATTGTTTTCAGGTACAAGAGACTTGGTACAGTTTACTAACTCTGATTGAAGATTTCTTCTTCAATTCAAATAAAAGTTGTATGCTTATATTTTGTGATTCTTTTTATTTTGTGTATCGCGATTAGCAGTATCGGTATCGAATACCGGATACAGCCATATTGTTTAGTGTGGTCAGCCCTAAACCTTATCGAAATCGTAACCCTAACCCTAACCCTAAACCTTACCCTAACCCTAACCAAAAGTAAACTCGCGGCGATGGCCCACCTGCATGGTTGCACCCCTAATAGCAAGGTCTATTTCTCAAACCGAAGAGGTAGTTGCACTTATATTTATACTAACGGATAGGAAATTTGATATTCTACATTTCTGTGTAATTGTATAGCCGAACGCAATTCTCGCACAACATTCACTTTTCAAACCGTATGAAAATATGTGCCTGAAAAAAAACTCGGCATCATGGGGGTTAACTCTCCACTGGCGATCCCATTCGTAACTACTAGCCTCTTTCCGTGACCTTGCCGGAATGACACGAGTAGTTACGAATGCTGGCGATCCGTTAATTCCAACCATCCATACAGTCTATAACGATAAAAGTAAACATATATGATGCAAACGTACCAGAGGCGTGAGGAAATGTTTCTACATGTCGCCTGCCTTCACAATCCAAACCTCGTGGTGCGTATTTTCTTTTCAAACGCTGTCAACAACTTCAATATACAATTTTAGTACAATCAAAATTTTTATATATTTGTATACTTATCCTGCGCTACTTACTTCCTGTACTTAGTGCTTACGGCTTGAAAAGGCGTGGCTTCCCAGACGACGTTAAAAGACGTAGAACTGCAATCACTTCCTGGTCTCGGCTGCTTCTCGTCTGCGCATGCGTCAGCGGAAGGATCCCACAGCCCGGGTCCCTGGGTCTGTTAGCCTCTCGCTAACACTGTGGGCGTTAAGCGCCAGAAGCATAACAGACCCAGGGAACCAGGCTGGATATCCCACAGATGGCAAATAAGCGGGGAAGGTAGCTGATAGCGCAGGGTGGGCCCTTATCATAAGTAGTGCAGTATAAGTATACAAAATCTTTAGATTTTACTAAATTTTTAAAGGTCACATGCAATGTAAAACACAACTTTGCAGATTCTGATAAGACGTCACAAATCATCAAACATGCAAATTCAACTTATAAAGTTGAAAAATAACGCGATGAAAAAAACGATTCACTAATTTTATCCCAGCGCTTGGGGGAATTTAAGTGGTTTCATCAGCTGGGCTGCGCTCATAGCACATGCGCAGTGAAATAGGTTCGCGCAGCATGGAAGCCGGGTTGTCCGGTGAATACTTTCGGTGAAGGCTTTGGTGTGAGCTATTTTTCTAATGTTTTGTTGATATTTCACAGGCACGAGCTGTTTATATGTTATGACAGTAGATTACCGATTAAACTGTTTATATAATTTCATTTGTCTATTTCACCACACGTTCTTCTTCTTGAGTCACTTTCTCAGTTAGATACTTAAAAGCAATGTCATTATTTAGCGTTGACAGAATTTCTAACTGTGATATAGATATGTCGTTGTCACAGACAAAACTCAGTGTCTGTTTTATTGACACCTATGTGTCTGCCTGCCTGTCTGTCTGCTAATGACAATATTCAATACACAACTTCGATCACTGACCACATGCAATTTGAACTTAACACCTATCAGGCTATACACCATAAACAAAACGCATTGATTTATGGCCCGAGTTCGGTCTCTGTCACATTATGTAATTACACAGACAGGCAGGTGTGATACTTGTACACATGACATGTTATGATGTCTGTTGATTGCAAAATGTTATACACAAAAAATGAGCATGTATTTACAAAACCCAACATCTCTATATATACACACACAATGAGCCATGAGGACATCTGCAAATGAACCAGCTGTTACACTTGAGTGCACACCCACCCGTTCTGACTGGGTTCGGTATCCCGGCTGCTTCGTTTCTTGGGAAGTAAACCCAAGTACAAAATATTGCACTTTTGATTTGCGATTGCACGCTTATAATTTTGTTTATATGTTTTTTCATAACCAGCAATGTATATTATATGTCATGAATAAGTGATAACTGTGTTTTAATTATGTTTGATTTTTTGGTTGCATGTGACCTATTAATCCTGTACTACTTACTTCCTGCCCTTTTATCCGACAGGCTGGAAGGTAATAGCAGCCAGCTCAATCCGTAAATCCCGTGCTCGGGAAGCGTTGGTAATGCGCCTATAACAGAGAGCGAATCGGCGAGTGACGATCAGGTACAGTGGTAATTCGCAAATAAGACCGAGTCTTAAATGAAAAGAAACCACTAATTTTAAAGCTGGCGAAGCTTAAGGAATGCAGTAGAAAGTATGGACTTGAAATACAAGGATAACTCCTTAACTGGCATACCTAGTTGTTTCTGAAGAAAAACAACTCATTCCCCACATGGTGGTCCGTGGGAAGACAACACAATGCAGGAGGGTCACTTTCTTTGGGGAATGGCAAGTTGCTGAGCAACCACCAATGGTCCGAAGCTGTGGACATCGTTAACGTCCTTGACAGCCATGTCACGCAAATAATGACTGGCAAAAACTGTGTCCGACCGCCAAAAACAACCTTGCATAATGGATGACACAGTACAATTACTGTGAAGTGCCACAGTCGAAGCAAGTGCTCGAATCTCGTGTGGATGAGAGGACGTAGGAGGGTCCAGCCCAGCCACTTTATATGCCTGAAGAATGGTCGTTCTTTAAGGCAATTGTGTTTTTGCTGACATCTGACTGTGACGCCCGGAAAAGGGGAAGAAATAACCGTTTCCTTGTACCACGGACGCCTTTGGTGCGATCAATGTAAGTTTTGAGCGCATGAATCGGGCATAAAAGCAATTCAGCATCGTCTTCAGTGCCAACAATAGATGATAATGGCGGAATGGAAAACTGTCGATCAGATTGACCTGGTAGTTGGGTTTTAGCGATGAAATCCCAACACAGACCCAAATGCACAGAACCATGACGGCGACGTTCAAACTTGACCCTAGTCACGTCAAGCGCGTGAACCTCACTCACTCTAGCTGCAGTCGCTAAAGACAAAAGAAAAGCCGTCTTCCAGGATAAATCAGCGAGGGAAGCGTTCTCAAGAGGTTCATAAGGTGCACCATACAATGTCGTCATACAAGCATCTAGTAGAAGTTCTGTGCGCCGTCGCACTGGCCGAAAACCCCTTAGCACTCAGTGCTTTCCCCAAATGGTCCATGTGTGCAGATTGAACCGATCTGGAGCAGGATGCGGGAGACGGCTTTGAGGGTGCACGAGAACGTTCCTCCACGTGGGTAGAGGGAAGGGATCTCCTACCATTAGACTTTTTAGAATGGGAAACCAGTTCCTGGCCGGCCACCAAGGCGCGACCAAAATCAGTCGCAGGCAAGTTGTCACCTTGACTTTTGCGAGAACTTTGTCTAGTAGAACTGGTGGCGGAAACGCATCCGCGTGCAGCCCTTCCCACGATAGGCTGAGAGCATCCACCATCCAAGCCGCTGGATCTGGGACTGGAGACATATACACTGGCAGTTGATGGTTTTGGCTGGTGGCAAACAGATCCATGTTTGGAGAACCCAGTGCGTGACTTTGGAGAGTGAAGGCCTC